ATTATGTAAACAAAAACTTTTATTTTGGATGCGATTAATCGTTTGACAGCACTAATATATATATATATATATACATACATACATACACATATATATACACACACACATATATATACACACACACACACACACACACATATATATATATATATATATATATATATATAGAGTCACATATTTAGTTACATTCAAAAAGTTCCAATGAATGGTTCTTGTAATTCATAAAGGACAAAAACTTACCAAAAGGACTTTACTAAGACGTGCAAAATGCTTTACAACTACAGGCAGAAACTGACGCCCTTCCTCTCCATTCAGGCGGCTGGGAGAAAGAAAAAGAACAACAAAAGTCCCATGATTAATCTATAAATCTCTTAAAACATTACCACCAATTGCATGCTCACTAGACACACAAGAACCAATGAGGTTGGTTCTAAAGCATCGAGCAAGAATATATGAGCTTCCGTTTAATATATTCAATGCACTCTATATATATATATATATATATATGTCCACTGATCAATACATACATGTGACTAAATTAAATCTGTTCATCATTTAAAGCTATTGTGTCTTGATACTATGATGAAACCAATCAATTCATATGAATTTCTTTTATGACCTCTTTCGGAATTTTGGTGGAACAAACTTTCAATGGAGGAACAGAAAATAAAAATATCTTAATTATACTGAACAAAAAAATTATGGGTTTGGAACAACATGAAGTTTAGTAAAAGATGACAATTTTCATTTTGGGATGAACTATCACTTTAAACATAAAATAGCTCCTGAATGCCAATTTCACATAAAGTGTGGACAGAGTAACCATTGACAAAACTGTATCACTACAACACTAAAAGAGCTTATATCATGATGGAGACATCCATGCGTTTGACTAAAACCTACTAAAAGACAGACACTAGAACCGTAGGTTAACCCTTACTTCGCGATGGTGATGTAGGCATCTGTCTTCTCTGACAGACCGGCTGCTTCGTCTTCCAGACACTTCAGAAGAGGAAGGAGGCTGGCACTAGATAGAGGCACTGCTGCCATCATCCTCACAGCCTGAAAGACAGGAAAGCACATTAAACTGATGCATACAGCTTTGACTACCACAAGACAGAATATAATGCAATCAAATGTGAAAACTCTTTCTTTTAAGGAGTTCTGGTTCAGTTGTTTAATTGGAGAAGGCCTTTAAATAACCTTTTAAAAATAAATTTCAAAACTCTTCTGCCCCTTGGACCTGTGGCACCCTAGAATGACTCCCACCTTTCACCCCTAAACATAGCCCTGGCTGAGTTTTGTTTAATAGTCTGCAATTAATAGTCGATTATGAAATGCTATGCATGAATGGGAATGTGTGAAAAATGAATGTTTTAACTCTTTTAATGTTATACTGGTAGTGTGACCAGGAGTCAATGCATGCAGGACATCGTGTTCTCTCGATGCACATGAGATCTCTGGTGAACAAATGGCAATACTGTCTTCAAATCAAGACCAAGAGACGTAAATTCAGTCGTCTATTTCACCTTAATGACACATTTGGGAAGAATAAAACCTCACACGCATCTTACATGTGATGTTTAACGTTAGCTAACGTTAGCCAGGTGCACGAGAGGCTAATAACAATGCGCCATCTATTATTATCAAACTCTCTGCCAAATATCATAATACATTTGCTTTTAAATACTAGGTTTTTTAGTGGTAGGTGTGCCCTAATATGCTGAGCTGTCCGAGATGCCAATATTAGACCTTAATGTCGTCTGTATCTTAAAGCTATTGTGTAATCAAGTGCGTTGAGCGTACAACTTGTAGGCAGAGAGATCTAAATGTGCCGTTTATTGAAACCTTTAAACCGTCGTGTATGCTTTTGCTGAAATTAATCTAATCCAACAGGAACTTTCCCTACAAAGACTGCAGAGTTAGCGAGCTAGTTACCCACCCGACCCCCTGAGCACACGCACCAACAGACACAACTCAAGATGTCTCACCTCGCGCTATCGACCACTGAAGGCGAGATCATCGACACACGAGCTATATCAGAGGAATCGGGAGAGCTTATACAACGTTTGTAAATGATCAAGTCTGTCCACTCCTCACTCTTCACTCCTCGCGAAAATGCTGGCGCCAAACATGACGCGTTGAAACCGTCACCTTCAACCCCACGTCAACTCCGCCCTCTCATAAATTATTTATTACATGAATTAAGATACTTTGCCAAAACTTGAATAAAAATTCGAGCAAATAATTAGGATACCTTGGTCATTTGTTTGTTTTTTTTTGTGAAATTTCACAGTAATGTCTCGTTTGTTAAACACATTAGTTAACATGAAATAACAAAACAGTAAAATCAAAGTTATATCTGTTAACATTTGTTAATGGACTTTGAACAAACGTACAAACAATAAACAATTGTATTTTTTTATTGATTAACATTTACAAACACAGTGGAGGCCAAAATTAAAAGAACATGGTATTTTCACCAGATAAAAAACGGTGCTCCACACAAAGATCTGATCTCTTCATGAAGAAACAGAACAAACTGAGACAGAAGAAATCCAGAAGAAATGTGGCAATGTCTCCAAGATGCTTCAAGAAACCTACCTGCAAAGCTACAGTACTGTTAAAAGTTTTAGGCACTTGTGTAAAAATGCTGTAAAATGAGGATGCTGTCAAAAAGAATGTCATAAATAGATTTTTTTTTATTAACTTCTATTACCTAAAGTAAATCAACATTTGGTGTGACCATCCTTAGCGTTTAAAGCAGCTTTTGCCCTCGGTGCACTTGCGCATAGTTTTTCAGGTAGCTTTACAGGTAGGTCAGATCTCTGTGTGGAGCACTGGCTGTTGTCAGACTCCTTGTGCAAACAAAAATCTCACTGGATTATTACAATTAGTGGCAAAATGAATGTTTGAAAATGTAAACTGATATTTCCTACTGACACACTACAGCAAAAGATGTAAATAACTGACTTAAAACCATTTTTAACTGGTGAAAATACTAGTATTCTAATCATTTTGGCCACCACTGTATATTCAAAGAATAAATATTGAAAAAAAAAAAGCTTTGCTGTAAAAAAAAAAGTTTAGAGTTAATGTACAAAGAATGTACATTTAAGGGCCTATGCCTATATCATGGCAGTTCTCAACTAAGACCGGGGACCCACTAGGGGGCCACAGAGCCTTAATAATTAAAAGGCTAAACCTGATAGAAATGCAGAGCTGTAACAAGCAGAACATTTCTTACTCTGAATAATTGTACATGCACTGTTAAAATCTCTTTGATTCAGAATCATTTGTCTTTTTTCACTGCAGTCAAAAACTTTGCATTAACAATTGCTGATTGCTTTTTTTTTGGTTAGTATTAATATCATGTTATGTGTTTCACATGAGCTCTGAGTTTTGAAGAATAGACACAGTAACACATTTTTTTAGGATGAAGTATACTTGTGTTTCTATAATTTCAGGCACTTTTACATCCCATGGGTCTGTCAGCTATATTAAATCAGATTTCATCTTATTTCTTGAGGTTACAATAAAACACTGTAATACATTAAATGCACTTTGTTTTATGAGAGTTTATTTTTTAAATGTTCACAGGCCTATACACTTAAATTTGTGATTATTAATAGCTTTAATATTGCACCCTTGGTAAAGAAATACAAATATAAAAAAATGACACAGTTGTGGGTTTGGGTGTATTAAAAAAGTGGGTTTGGTGCTTTAAACATTGGTCAAGACAAGGCATCAGTGTGATTGTCAAAGAGCTGAGAGGAGTTCACAGCGATGTACTGCAGCTGAAAACCTCCACCAGTCACCGAGGAATCAGAAAGGAACTTCAGAGTCATGACATTTCCTGTGCAAGAGATAATGTAGAAACATAGAGAGATATCTTCTGAAATCTATTTAAGAGATACATTCAAATTGACGTATTGTCCAAGAAAAACAAACTTTTGAAATTAATGCAACAACATACCTGTACTTATGAAGTCCTCTGGAAGTTCATCCCCACAGTATCTATCCAGAGGAGACCGATTTGTTTTATTATTTTGAAGCAAATTTAAACAATGTCAGAACTCTAAACTCTCAGCAGCAATAAAAAATGGAACGTAAAGTTCAACAGTGAATAAAACAAAAAGTCTGTTATTTACCTTCCAACAAAGCCTGAAACATCATCATAGCTGTCATAGATCTCCAGGTAATCACTGAGGCAAGCTGTGTCTTCCTCAATGTCAAAGTCTAGGAAGTGCAGGCGGATTCGTTGGCCGTAACGCACACGAATGTGCCAGTAGCAAATCTGCTCATCCTGGTAATCTTCTGGATAACCAGGAGAAACGAAAACCTTCTCCTGATCTGTGTGCACACCTCCACACTCCTTTGCTGGAAAGACAGCACCAAAGGTGTACAAATTAATGCATGCCTAAAAGTCAATAAACTCAAGGGGTCAGTCCTACTACACCAAACAGTTTCATTAGTTTGAATCACGTTTCATCTCTTCATCTCTCCATGTGGAAATAAGTATCAGAAGTATAAAAAGGAGTCAAAGGAATATGAGCACTATGCTTATGCAGACAATGACAAATCCAAACTCTGTCTGTGGTTTGAGTGGGTGCTCAGTGACACACGCATCTGGTGCCCTGCCCTCAATGAGGTAGTTACTGGATACTATATAGAAAGCTAATTTATACTATAAATATATATTTTTTATTATTAAATAGGACAACCCACCCGCTTTGCACTGTATTGCACTGACATCTATCTATTGCAATATCAGAATTAAACTTTGAGGCTTTGTGAAACTAATATTCAAACTTTTCTATGCGTGTTGATCTATTAATAAATATCTATTGAAAGTAAAACACAAAATTGTCCACATCAACATCTCTCACAGGACATCTCAACCTGAAAGTCTGAGTTCACTATTTCCTCCCTGACTTCTTTTTGAGAACCCTGTTGAGTCAAGTTCTCCGTAGGGAGAATTTCTTTCACCAGCTCATTACAAATCAGGGGAAAAGCGTCAGTCACAAACTCAGCTGGGTCTCTGGTAATGCATTACCACACCTTGTAAAATTTAATGGGGCTTCGTTTAGATTATTCACGGTGTGAAACATTTTTCATTAGAATCTTCCATATTCATACAAGAGAAAAGAGCCAGAGAAAACAAGCAGGCATTTTCCAGGAAATGTATAATGTATTTGTTCTCTTTCTGTTTGTTTTGACTGCTCCACATCTAAGACATTTTCCTACATTTAACTCATATGAATAATGTCCTGTGCTGAGGTTCACTGTCCTCTATTTCTATCTGTCATTGTGTGTAATAAAACATCCAACACTTTTTTTCTCCAACATTTAGTCATGGTTGTCTTTGTCAGGCCAATGAGTGCCTGAATTATGATATAAAGTAATTGTCTTTAACCTATGGAGATTTATACTTTACTACAGTCAACTCACTCTGACGAGCTTTCAAAGAACATTTTACAAACCTAAGATTTGTGTAACTACTTTGTCCAAATCTCTCAGCGGATGACTAAAATCCACCCAAGATTGCCTAACTGCCATTGCTCAAACTCACCCCCAGGGTTGTAGCAGTAGACATCCCACTTCTCACTTTTGTTGAGCCGATATCCATAATCAATTATTCCAACCTTTCCAAAACCACAGTTGGCGCCAGCTTTAACAATCGGATAGCCCACACATCCTTTGTCAAACCATCCAGCTGCACACACATGGAACCCTTTGGGAGAATGACAAATGCTGTGATACTGTGCAACATCTGTTATTATGAAGCAACATTTGACATAAATATGAATTGATCTAAAATGCTAATTCATTACAAATGATTAAACACTGTTTTAATGTTTAAAAAGAATACATTCTAATCATACAAATATAAGTGATACAAATTCTGTTGGTGAATTAATTATGAAAAGTAGTTCATTTCTTTTTTTCTTCAGTGTTCATATTTGAATATATCTGCAGTATTTCACAACCAGGTTCTGTTTGTACTGAATAAAAAGTGTTCTCCATGAAAAAAACAAAAACTAATAATTGAAGGAAATTCGTCTTTTTTAAGGGGTAATGAATAAAGGGCTCTTGTTCTCTGAGGAGCCATGGGCACCATTTGAAGGCTGCAAACAGACATGATAAAAAGAAAGCCAAGCAGACCTCCAACATAGAGTGCCACAAGCCTGAAGTAACCACAAAATACACCAGAGCTCATGTCTGGAACAAATTTACTCTTACTAAAGAGTAATTTTACAAGAAAACAGGTGTCCCTGCTCAGGCAACACATGACAATGGCTTTTACAGTTCAAACATAACACTGGGTGGCACTGGGGATGGTTTTTAACTTTGTTTATATGATGTGTGCAAATATTTAATATATCTGTGAGAATGTTGATTATCATTCTGCTTGCTGATTTTTTCTGATTGTTTATTGTTATAATAAAGGCTATTCAGTATGATCCAAGTTCGGCTTTCGGCACTTATGTTGTAGGCCAGACCCACTACTATTTCCATTACTATTTCTTTTGGCATCTGATCTAAGTGAGATTTGTAAGTGTGATACAAACCAATTTGGCGAGCAGCCTCCAGTTGATCATATGTAGCAAGAGTACCCCCCTCAAATTTGCACACAGCCTTGGCTTCCCTGTACGTCAGCTGATATCTTCCTTTGCGAGATTCGCGGTGGTAAACTCCGGCTGCTTGCTCTGTAAGGAGAGAGAACATGCGTCTCATTTGGCAACACTATCAGCTTCGAGGACTCATGTGGAGTTATCTGGGTCTGTTCAATGTCTCAGAACAATGATTCTACCTGTCTACTCAAATTACGTCAGACCTGGGAAACAGAAATTTTATTTTAGAAGGTTTTACACAACGTAGATGTTTTACTGTGCGGGACATCCTGAATACATAAGGGACAAATACAATGTACACCCAGTTGCTGTTGGTAAGATCACTGAAGCAGATTTTGCCTGTTTTGAGCTCTGTCTGCTGCTCACAGAACATCATGCTGCTTTGCAGTTGTTTTCAAGTACGCATGCATAACCTTGAAGAAGTTGGATCCTGTCTCAAATGAGTTATAAGCCAATGTTTTTACTGTGTTGGC